ATTACAGTATAATTGTTGTTTGTTAATTTTATTATTTAGGATAATTTTTTAGTATTATTTATTTTTTTTAGTATTATTTATTTAGTATAATTTTGTTACTAGGTATTATTTCTCTCTTACGGTGCCTAACTTAAACTTTATCGTAGGTGTGTATGTATAGGACAAAACACAGTGTGTATAGGGCTTGGTACTGTTGATGGGTTCAGGCACCCACTGGGGGTTCTGGATCATATCCCCCATGGATAAGGGGGGACTAATGGACGGAATAGAAAGCGATGCGGGGCTTGAGGCTTAGGTGAAGGGTAGCGAGAGTAGAGAGGAAGGAGGGATTATTTCCAGCTGAAGGACGGGGCGAAGTGCTTTTAGGAATTCAGAGAAGAGAAATGCAGGAAGGCTTTCTCGTAGAAGGACATTGAAAGAAATCTGTGGATTTTGATGGGAATCAAAATTACCATCTTAGTTCATGGGGAAAAAAGAGACTAGTCTGCCTGGAATGAGTGTGTGTTTGGAGGATCTTCTAGCTTTAAATTTCGTAAGAGAAAACATTGAAAATACTGTTAAAGGTAGGCCAATATTACATTTGATACACTCAGGTAAATGGAGCTTTAACGGCTTTTTTTTTTAACAAGCATTTTTGTCTCCTGTGCTCTGAATGGTCTGAAACAGCAGATGATTCCTCCACTTTTAGCAAGTGCACATTTAGAGACACATCTGTAAAATCTCCCTCTGTGTAAACGGCAGGGGGAAGGGGAGGAAAGAGGATTGTAAAACCCAAGTCTCTAAAATTTATTGAAAACAGTATGGCGTAGTGGTTAAGAAAGGAGCTGGCTGGAACAGTGTCACCTGAGTTAAAATACTGGCCCCTCCACTTAGAGCTTGTGATCTTGACTGCACCACTTAATCAGTACCACAGCTGAATGAATTGGGGTTCACTCATTCATTATATATTTACCGAGTGCCTATTACATGCCAGGCATTGTTCTAGAAACCAAGAGAAAAACTTTGGATGCAACAGACACAGTTTTCTGCTCCTAAAAGCTTCCATTCTAGCAGGGAGAAGATAGACAATTAAGTATATGGTATATTATTATTAGAAGGCAGTAATGGTTATGGGAGGAAAGCAAAGCAGCATAAAGGATGTGGGTAGAGTTGCCAGATTTAGCAAATAAAAAATGCAGAATACTCGGTTGAATTTGAATTTGAAATAAACAATGGGTACTTTCTTAAAGTAAAGTATGTCTCATGTATTGCATGGGACTTAAACTAAAAACCTGTCCCCAGTACTGCATGGGACTTATTTATACTAAGAAACTCTGTTAATCTGCAGCTCCCACGGACCTGGCCAGCCTGTGCTTCATCTTGAGCTGCGGATGTGGGGACCGTGGTGGCCGTGCAGTCTCACATGGGGCGGGGGAAGGCCGCACTGAGATGAAAGTTGAGCAGGGAGGACCTGCAGGTGAAGGAGCCAGCTCCTGGGTATCTCAGGGAGGGGGATTCCTGTGAGGGACGCAGGCAGCATGGGAGCGGCTGGGAGGCGAGTGCGGTTAGAGCCACGTAAGCAGGGGCTGAAGTCAGAAAGGTAAGGGGGAATGGTGGTGTGTTGTGGGCCATTTTAAGTATTTTGGCTTTTACCCTCAGTGAAAGGAAGATGCAGGAGGATTTTGAGCAGAAGAGTGACATGACACGACATTTAAGGGGATCATTCTGGCTACTACGTCATGAATAGGCTAGGGGAGGCGGGGTAGTGGGCAGCTCTGGGAGCATTCCGAGTGCGACGTATTGGGGCGTTGAACCAGCGTGGTAGCAGGAGAGGTGGTGCGAAGTGGCTGGATTCCTGATACATTTTAAAGGTAGAGACAACAGGGACGTCCCAATTCATTGGATGTAGAGTAAGAAAGGAAGAGAGAAGTTGAGAATGACTCTTACGATTTTGGCTTGCTGCTGACAGGATGGAGGATTCTACTGAATGGGGAGCAGGGAGGTTGGCCGGGTTAAGTTTGAGATACTTAGTACACACTCGTTTTGTTGATGTGTAATTTTGTAACGGCTCCAAACTTAATGGCATGAAACAAGCATTTTATTCTGCTCAGGGAATCTGTGAGTCAGGAATTTGGAAAAGTCACAGCAGGGCTGGCTTGTCTCTATTCCATTGTGTTTGGGGCCTCAGCGGGGAAACTCCCCCGGTGGCCGGGGACTGGAATGGCTTGAAGACTGAGCTCTGCTGGCTGCTGTCTATGCGAGCACCTGCACATGACCTCTCAGTGTGGCTGAGGCTTCTCCAAGCATGGCAGCTGGGTCCCTAGCGGGAGCTTTTGGAGAACGAGTGTACCAAGAGACTCGGGTGGGAAGTGCAGTCTTTTCTGACCTGGCCTCCAAGTAATGGTGTCACTTCTGCCACGTTCTGTTGATTCAAAGTGAGTCACAGAGCTAGCTCTGATTCTAGGAGAGGTGAATTTGATGTGGGAGTGGCAAGAGCACATTGCCAAAGGTCATGTGGGGTTGGAGAAATTGTTGCAGCTGTCTTCGGAAAATACATTCTGCCAGAGCATCAAGAGATACCAGTTTGGCACTTACATATTTATATATGTGAGTTTGGAGTTTAGGGGAGTGATCTGGTCTGTATGTGAAAGTCGGATGCCATTTAAAGCTCTGAGATCATGAAGGGAGTTAGTATAGAAGAAAAAGCTCCCAGGGCAGAGCCTTGGGGTAACTGGAGTAATGTTGAAAGATCAGGGAAAGAGGTAAAACCAGCAAAGGAGACAGAAGTAGCCAGCGAGATAGGAAGAATAAGAAAGTGGCATGGCCTGAAATCAAAGTGAAGAAAATGTTTTCAGGAATAAAGGTCAAGCTGCCGATGCGTCGAGCAAGACTGGGACTGAGAATTGGCTATCGGATTTAGCAATGGGAAAGTCACTGATGGCCTTGTCAGGAGCAGTGAACACGAAAGCTAGGTTTGAGCAGCTTTCAGAGTGACTGAGAAGAGAGGAGTTGGAAACAAGTAGTATAATCAACCGATTCACAGAATCTTGCTGTGAAGAGGAATGGAGAAATGGGGTGGTAGCTGGAGGAGAAAGTAGGGATGAAATTGTTTTGTAAGATGGGAGAAATCGCAGCATGTTTGATCCAGTGGAAAAGGGAAAAGTTGATGGGGTTGATTGGGTGGAGAATTGCTAAAGCAGTGGCTTGGAGTCTGTGAGAGGCAGGGTCAAGTGCACCGTGGTGTGTTTGGGGTTGGCCATCTAGAAGGGAAGACAGAGTTGATGGGCACAGATGCTAGTAGGTGGAGTGGCATTTTGAAGTTCTTTGATTGAATTTCCCATTGACGTGAAGGGTATGCTATTAGTAATAGTGCCTGTCGTGTTAGATTGCTTTGACAATTAAATGAGTTTTTTCCTTTAAAGCACTTAGCATGGTTGCTGGCACAGATTAAGCACTCAAATGATAGCAATTACTAGCTATCTCTGCTTCCGAAAGACCAGTCTTTGGAACAGTGTTTGTTCATTAGAGTTTTGTCTAGTACAAATTAAAATGAAAAAAAGATAATATTTCATATACAAAGTTGAGCCCTTCTTTATTATTTTAAAAATATATAATTTAATATCTGTGAGTTGGGTAGCCCCCTGAACCAAAATAGGTTCAGAGAGACTCCGCCTTCCTCCTTTTAAAATGGGTTTTTCTTCTATGAAAAGTTATGGTACTAGATGGTAGCTTTTTTTTCTATTAATAATCTTTTACTGAAGACTAGCACACACATATATATGTAAGTTCACAATTAACAGTACAGCTCGATGGATTATCACAAAGCAAACGGACCTATATACCACCGCCCAAATCAAGAAATAGAACATTAATAGCATCTAGGTGGATTTTTAGTTTATTTTTTTCTCCCTTATACATTCTTAGTTCATAGAATAGGTGGTTGGTCATCCCTGTTGTTGGGACCCAGGATTTTTAAAAAAAAATTTCTTGGCCTGAGAAACCCAAAAGTCTGGTAACGTGTTTAACACCAAGGAGTCCAATAAACCTTACTAGGCCATCCTGCTGGAGGGAAAAAAAAAACCAATTCCCAGAGGTACTGTAAGTTTCCAGAGTCATGAGAAAATTTCTAAACTGTGATGTGACAGATTCCTCAGGCATTCTTCAAATCATTTGCCTAAGTGAGTGACTTTACTCTTATGTTATGAAAACCAATGATATTTTTAAAAGATTTCAGATCCTTGAAGATAAAATGCCTCTTGCCCTCTTTAGTAACTAGAAGTTTACTGAGATTAGTCATTTATCCCTTATTCTCATCTTTGTCCCAAAGAAAATAGGCCTAATTTTTTCCCCTCGTAATGTCCCTTCAATCTAGTTTCCTTATGATGTTATTAAGCAGGTAATAGCATGGACCACTTTCTAAGACAAAGTGTTGGTGACTTACTCTACGTCTAGTAGTTACTACCTGAATTGTTTATTTCTCTTCCTAGGATGTAATCCACAAAACAAAATAGAAGAATACTCAGCTGATTTTATTTTCTTACGGAAGTTCTTGTGTTTTAGGCTTTTGCCTATTAATTTTCTGTGGTCTCCCACATGCAACCTCTAATACACATGTGCGTGTACATACACACACACACCCTGTAATTATGGTAATTGTTTATCAGCTGAAAATTAGTGTTTGGGGAACACTGTGTCTTTAATTGAGGGCACTGCCATCTGCAGCGCACTCGCGCCCAGCGTACTTTCACGATCTTACTCATTTTAGTGTTCCGTGTTCTGGGCAGTCTCCCTCGTTTGAGTTTGGTTTTTATTTGCTGTCGGCAGTGTTCCGATTGTTTAGAGCACCCATTGTATGCGACTGATAGGAAGCTCTTTGCCCTCTCTTTAGCCGTGTTCGCTTTTTCTTGTGCTGTATCTAGTAATTGGTTAAAGGAATCTCCTAGAACACCAGTTTCCACCCCCAGGGATGCCCATACTCCTTTTTTCCCTTCTGCACAAATCAGAGAGAAAATATGTACATATTTTTGGAAGTTAATTTTATTATATGAAGATAGTATACAAAATACATTCATCATGACTAGAAATATAGGACCAAATGATGTCTCACTTATATCTATCTGTAGCATATATTCTTGGTTTGTATAAAAGTAACTTTAAAATTCCAGTTTCCTTAAATAGTTCTGCACAAAACACACACACACACACACACACACACACACACACATATAGTTACTACCACTGCTGGTCAAAGATGCACTCCTCCCTTAATCAATTTAAATGGGGCTAGCAAGTATCTGTTTGATGTCGGACATTCTTACGGGCTGGGAAACAAGGCATGTGTCCCACGGGCTGAAACTAACGTCTAAGCATCATTTCTTGAACTAACTTGACACAGACTTGCAGGTGGTTTCGGTCCCATTTGACCCGGGCTGCTGCACATTCTCTCACAAACCCTGAAAGGAAGTGCTTGTTCTGCAGTTGTGAGTGCCAGCCATTTTTGTCATAAATGGCAAATGGTTCTAATATTACCATCAGTTAATTAGTATTTTAATTTTCAGTGCTGTTTTAATGAACAAGCACTTTGCAGCTAGATATACTCATTACTATGAGCCTCCATTTTCCTTTCTACGGTAGACTCCAGATGGAATCATCTTTTTTGACTGATGACTCGTAGGCTATAAACCTGGGTCTTTGAAGAAGCTGAGCAACATAATTCTAACAGATTTTTCTCTTTTGGAACAAGGGTATTTACTAAGGTCTCTTAATGATTAAGAGGTTATTGAAATCAAGACATCATATGAATAGCTTAGGTTTTCTTTATTATCACTCATTGCCACATCCTTATCTGATTTGAAAAAAGTAGAGAACTATTGGGGTCTTCTTTTATTTTCTCTATGTTTTAACCTGCTTCTAGTTACCTGATTTATACTATCACCAGCTGTCACAGGCATTTTTGTTAATGTAAAGAAGAGGAAGAACAAAGATTTTTTCCCCTCTTCTGGCTCCAGCCTGATTTTGTTTGAATTTAATTCTTAGTGGAGAGCCCTGACTCACTCCTCTCTCCTGGCTGGTGAGTCTTCCGAAAGAGCCACCACGGGGCACCCACTGTCTCACTCAGGAATGCGCTGACTTTCCCATCTCTTCATGTGAGAATCTTTAAACAAAAATGTGGCACATAGAAAGGAAGCATACATTCTTCTGTTACTTAGAGTTCAGATTCTAGATTAAGTTACATGCATCAAAGGAAGCACACTCTTCTCTCCCAGAAGCAGCAAGCCACTGTTGCCTGCCCAGCTTCTGACTGGCTGCAGAAGGTGCGCACATCCTAAATACATAGACCAAACTTGCATAAATAGCATCAAACAGCCAGTTTAGAGATCCAGGGGCCGCTGATAGTTAGGCCCTGACGAGCAGGCACCTTTCCTACCCTGTCTCCCTACTCCCTCATACTCAGACCCAAGGCAAGGTCCAAAGCAGATGAAAATAGGCTTTTCTTCTACTGATGGCTCATTAACTAATGTCCTGAGTCCCAGCTGAACTGTTCAACTATCTTGCATAAATTACATATCACCTTTTCTCTCAAGGAGCATAAAGTGCTTAATAAACATTGGTTAATGCTCTTCTTCCACATCTTCCAGATTAGCACGAGATAATGGACTCCCCATTAAATAAAAAGGAAACGTGATTGACTTCCATGCTTTAGGTCCCAGCTATTTCGGTGAGTTGGTTTGGATGTTACAAAGCTGGGGTTTTCACTCTGCCTTACTGATTTTGTATTCCATCCATCCTAGTTTTGGTAAAGAGAAAACCTTCTCCAAGACTGCATTTTCATTCTCCTCAGCTTTCTTTTATAACCAACCGTATAAAATAGGATAATACAAAAAATTGAGTTAAGTGTCTGGACTAGACATTAATACTTGAAATAGAATCTGACATTTTAAGTGTAAGGCTGTCATGCCACAGAGCTGCCCTACTCTGGGTAAGTTCCAGTGTATCTGGCCAGAAGAGCCAACAGTATGGGCTCCGAGCTGAGCGCCACCCTCAGAGCTTTAAATCAAAATGGGCCATGAAGAGGAATGGGCATAGGACCGGTTCCAGAGGTAAAGTTTTAAAATTTGCTTTAGTTCCAAAAATTATGTTTGTCCTTTTCTTGTTTCCCAGAATCCAAAAAATGTCCCCTCATCTCTGTCCTGTCTGCTCCTGGCTGGGCTCTCAAATGCAGAAGGTCAGCATTGAGAAGCCACTGAAATGGCATTGCTGAGAGCCCTCTCCTACTCCCTGCCCATAGGATGTGTCTCAGATTCTCTCTTTTCTCCCTCCTCCTTCCCTTTTCCTCCTTACATGTCTTATGCCTGCTAGAGGGTTCCAGAGACACTGCTTTGGCCAGCTAGTGATTGCGAGAGCTGGAGGGCTGATGGCCCCTGGTCTTAGGGCTCTGGGGCTGCCCAGTGGAGTCCAGTTGCCCGGCATGGTCAGTGCAGCTCCTGAGGCGTCGCAGTCCTGCGTGCCCTGAGGTCTCGGGTTGCAGCAGGTAAGTCATTGGGCTTTGAAAGGATTTCTCTAACACAGTGAGTAATATGAGGATTTAGCAGTAGTGTTGTTCACTTGTGAACTATTTCTCTACTTAACTGGGGTTACATTCTTGTTAGTCAAAAAAAGGCACTATTAAAAAAATCACAAAAAGCAGCTGGCTCCTGTGAAAAGGTAAAGGTGTAAACTTATATATGTGTAATACTGGCAAAAGCTAGTTTTCTGGGGGTATAAATACACATGTGCTTCTAGAAATAAGGCTTTGTGTCGAACTTTAGACAGGTGGGGTGGAGTATAAGACCACCGAGTTGTAGTCTGGGGGCGGAGAGCAGCAGGAAATCTTCTTTTCCAGCTCCGAGTTGTCGTACGTGAATCTGCGCTTGCCTTTGTTGACGTGCCCACAGCTGGAGTGGCAGAAACTGGGCCTGGTGATGTCGGACAGCCCTGACTCCTTGCTTTTACTAGTAACTCTCAAGCTAAAGAAAGAAAAGAAAAAAAATCAAATGTACAAAATTGGTTTCTCGAAAACAAACACTAAAATCCACTGTGTCTTAGTGGGTCACTTGTTCATCCCTGTCCCCGAGTTAATGGTTATTGAACCCCATCTCAGTCTCTGGTCGGATTCCCTTTGTGCTAACGCTGCACACGCCTCCCTACTACCAGATTGGGGTCACTGGGCAGAAGGATGCCTTCCACTGGCTGGGAGGTGAAATGTACGGTTAGATCATGTAAATCCATAATTCCAGGTGGAAAATAACTCCAAGACTTGGGTACGGCCCTTGCCTACTCTTGGGTCAAATAGCTTCTGTGGTAGGCGGAAAAATGCTCCCCGTACTCCAAAATATATCTGTATTTCAGATGCCTGGAGCCTGTAAATATCACGTCACATGGCAAGAGACATGGTCAAGTTAGGGATCGAGAGAGGAGGCGCTTATCCTAAATACGATCACATATATCCTTACACGAAAGGGGCTTTCCCGGGCAGCACCGTTTCTAGGCAGAGACAGCGCAGAGAAGCTGCAGTGACAGGGCCAGTGGGCTGTAAAGCAAGAGCCTACGTAATTCCGACGGCAGTGGCCACAGTATGGAGGGGATAGGGGTTGGCGGAGAAATCTTCAAGTGAGACAAGGACGCCAGGATCAAACTGGAAGCAGAAAGTCCTTCAGAATGTGGACGGGTTGAGTGACCAGGGTGGCCTGTCCTAGGACTTGAAAACAGCACTCAGACTCCTCTCGTGTAAACCCTGCCAGCTCCGGGTATAATGGAGAGCATGCTCTCCCACCCCGCGGGCGTGTGTCTATCCCCACCATTCACAGGTGGCCACATCCGGCTCCTTTCGGCTGAGGCACTGTGCTTAGCATACACGCACTGCCTGCCTTTGCTGGATTTTTCTGCATGTTTTCCCCTCTAAAACCCCAGCCTTCCTTCCCAGAGCTTGATGCTTGTATGTCCAATTTTAAGCCTCCTTTCTTGCCCTTTGGAGGGAAAAATGCTTTTCTGCAATGCCTGAACACTAGAGTTCAGGAGGGTGAGTAGCCCTCAATTACCCCCCATTCAACCATCTTCCCGGCACCTTCCTTCACAGCCCTCCAGCTGATCACAGAAAAGACGCCGGCTGCCTTACTCGATCCTCAGTGAGGCCTTGGGTTTGCTCTCGGTCCAGGTGAAGCGCTTCAGCACTGGGGAGGCCAGCAGAGTGCCGCTGTCCCCCTGGTAATCCTGGGGGAACGAGGAGAAAGGTTATACTCTCGCCTGGCCTAGGGGGTCAGGCCAGTTCTCAGGGGTGCTCCTGGGATGTGCCCTCACCCTCCACAGCCCCCGCCTAGTGAGGCAAAGCATTTTCTCCATACTGGCAACTACAAACTTGGTCAGTGGCAAGAAATGACTCTTCCCAGTGACTTTGAGGTCCTTCTTTTTGAAAATGAACTATTAAATAAATTTAAACAAAAGGGAACACTGCAAGTAACAGGTTAGCATTTTCCATATTAAGCTTTTATGCAAATTATTACATACATATATTAAAACTGATTTTGGCAGATGACGATTGCCTATGGGTATACTATGGTATTTGGTAGCCATAATATGTAAAAATTCTGAGAAATTATAAATACATGGTTCAGTATTTTTCTTGAAGATTCTATGGAATTTTCAGGCCCTCCTTGGTCATCGTTTCCGGCAGTTAGATTTCCTTGTTGGTTCATCTTTAGCATTGAGTCTTATGCAGACCCTTTATTACTCTGTTAATACAGTACGTTCCAGTAAGTGGATTCCACACTTTGTTCCTGCCACCCTTTGAGGCTGTCACTGGGCTGTGTTCATGTCCTTACCTACCAGTAAACACCTAAGCACAGAAAGCAGCTGCATAATTCACCACTGTATTAGGGTGGGGAGGGCCAAGGTTGAGAGAAATCTTCCATGTTTTCCTCAATATTGTTTCCTTGGCCTTGAAACTAATGTGCAAGCAACAAAACAAAATTTCCATCTCCTTTGTATTCTGCAGCTTATTTGTAATGTTTTAAAAAAATCTTAAATCATTTTTTCCCTTTATCTGGAGTTTCTGACAAGGTTTTGGTGCTTTTTAAGGATGATTATGCTTGTCTCAAGGCCACACTGATTGTGGTGATCACCTTCACACTGTATTAATAGCTGCTCTCCCAGCCCCTTTATGGGACGCAGTCATCACCAGAACTTCGCAAACTTTCGCGTGCACGGGAATCCCCAAGGGATCTTGTGACAAGGCACAGTCAGACTCGGTGGGTGCAGGCGGGTCCTGAGAGCTGGCATTTCTAGCCTCCTAGGTCAGGGCAGCGTGCTGGTCTGGAGACCACACTTTGAGGACAAGAGTCTGCAGTAGCAGAACCACACTCCTGCCCATCCTTTTTCTTCTCCCCTTATCGTCTTAACCCCACGTCCCAGCGGTCTATAGAGAAGAGCTGGTCAGGCCTCTTCCTTGCCAGGCTGTACTGCTTTGCTTCTCCCAGTGAGGCTGGGTGGGAACATGTCTGTTCAGCCTGCAGAGCTTCAGGGGAAGGGGCATAGGCCTAGCTGGACTTCTCCCAGTCTTGGGGCTGCTCGTGAGAGAGCGCTCTGTTACGTCACAGGGCCCAGCCATCTACACAGCTAGGAGTCCCTCTATTACTCTGAAAGCAAAGAGGCATCGCCGGCAGCCAAGAAGCTTAGAAACACACGATGGAGTTTCCTAGGGGACTAAATTCCTACCAGGCGAGGACTTGGCCCCTGGAGTGAATTCATGGACTTCTACTTTCAAATTAGTTCTACAGAGCTAAGTCTAGCTGTCAGTCCCCTGTCACTGTCACTTTAGTGGCCACTGATCACTGGCCCTCATCACCCAAGAGCTACCAGAACACTGGAGCTGGCATTTGGGAGGGATCTGGCGAAGAGTGCTGTTGGGGAACACTGCGTAGCTTAACTTCACACTTACATCCAGCATGGAGGTGGCATTTGGTAAAAATTCTTCGAAGGTTTTGATTCTTTCCAGGCTCATGAATTTGAAAGCATTTACGTATCTAATGAAGAAGCAGAAAGAATAATCAAGACAGGAAAGCGCATCCAGCTTTGATTAGACCATGGGCACTGTATCCTAGCTCAGATGAACCAAAATACCAGGAGGCCTCACTCCTGAGGCTCAAATCTTCCTATCGTGCCCGCTGGGAATCCTGGCAGGAAGGCCACTTCCTTTCATGGTTGACAATTCACCTTCCACAGTTTTGAGCAAAACCCCAGAGGGACCCACTCTGGTCCCTTGTGGAATCAGAAAACATCAGGCCCAGAAGAAACCTGAGGCATCATCTGGTCTGAACACCCTACAGTACAAAGGAGTGGAATGATGCCCAGGGAAGTGATAAGACTTGATCGCTTGCAGCTACCTACTTCCTAAAAGCATGCAAGGTGACAAATAAAATGACCTGTCAAGGTTACACAGCTGATTTCATGGCATAATCAAGTGCTAGGGCCAGTTTTATATATTTTGGTCTGTGTTACAGACTGGGAGAAATGGGTAGTATTTGTACGACGTTTCTCTACCTACCTGACTTGCACTGATGAGCTATAGGAAAGACCATCAGAGATATCCACTGTGTGGTTTTCACAAGGCAAGCTCACCTACGGATCGAATTTCTCAGTCTGATACTGTCACCCTCTGTAAGTCCCAGTTTCTTAGGCAAGTTCCCTATTGGGCCTAAGGGTGAGCAATGTACTAAAAGGGCCCAAATAAATGACATGTCACATCCCCCATTTCTAACCCAGTCAGACCTTGACTATTTAATCCAAACTAGGGTACTCAACTTGAAAAAGGATGACTCATCTGCTTCAGCTCCTTGGGCTGGCTGTGAGGCCTGAGCCGTGATGCTGACCTGTAATCCCTCCATCACCACAAGTCGGGCTGGATGGAGTTTTTCACAGCCTGTCGTAGGTGGCTAGTGGCATTTTCAGGTTTGCAGCTCTTCCCCATGTCTTCCCTGGTGGCTTAGCTGAGGTCAGAGCCCAAGGGCTGTGCCTACTGCAGATAAAAATGCTAGAGAGCCCATAGGACAGTCTAAATGTCCTAAAAAGAGTCCAGACTGTATGGAGTATAGGGAGGGAGGGTCAGTAACAGGAATAATGTGTACTTCACAGAATCGTTCTGAGCATAAAAGGCGTTGATACATGCACAGTGCCAGACCACAGCATGTGTCTGTGGAACCTAAGTACTGAACGTGTTCACGCATGTGGAACTGTCAGCGCTGAAGTGAGGTCCCTGGCCAGCCGAGGCCCTCCATAAATACTTGTTCCCTTGCCCCTTCTCCAATTCCTCTGCAGTAGTGTGAGTATATTAGTTAAATTTTTTAAAAAGCCAGTTTTGTTTGTTTAGTTTTATCTAAGGTGTCATCAAAAAAGTCAATATCATGGGGGAAAAATCAGTGGAGGGATGGTTCTAAAATAAGATGGACTAAAAAAACTTAAGAAAATGTAATGTGTTAATTGGATCCTGCTTTTTAAAAAAAGGTATAAAAGATATTTGGGGGAAGTTATAGATATTTGAATATTAGATATTAAGGAATTCTTTGGTGTGATCATTTTGGTGTGGCTCACACAGGAGAATATGCTTCTTACAAGATGTATACTCAAGTATTTAGGGGTAAAGTGTTATAATGCCTTAAATTCTCTTTAAAATGGTTCAGCAAAAAGAAACATACATACACACAAATGTAGAGTATATAGACAAAATAGGGCAGAGTGTTAACGACAGTTAAATTTAGGAGGAGGGCATATGGGTGATCACTACACAATTCTTTCCTATTTTGTCTTTTTGACATGATAGAAAATTCTGTAATAGGAAGTTGGGGAAAGAAATCTTACCTGACATCATCAGAGCTTCCTGAATTATACTTGGGAGCTGAAATGCCTTCCTTGAAGAAGTCCTCAGAGAAGGCAGGAGTTGAGTAGGTAAACCCACTATTTCCTGTCAGTATGGCATTGAGTGGGATGTAGTCTTTACCATCCTAAAATACCAAAGATAGAGGTATTTGCACAAATTTTGACTTTATCCAATTTCTGTGAAGCATTATGTTAACTTCAGCTATGCCATCTGCACAACCTTGGTTGTGTTTGGAGAAGATAATTACACACACACACACACACACACACACACACACACACTTTTTACTGCTGATCTCAGCTATTCTATTAAGAGCTCTTAAAACAACAAACAAATGAGACAACCCCTTGACTTACATTCAAAGGCATTTGCCTTCTGATATTCTAGATAAATTTAGCTTTACCTGTTGTACATTTGCTTGGAGCAAATCGCCCAACTTTTCCACAAGTTCTGCAAATCTTGGCCTTTCTTTTGGGTCTTTGTGCCAGCAGTCCAGCATGATCTGATAGCTGTTGGGCAAAAGCACAGCAGAACGGCTGGAGAGCAGTGATAGTTCTCTAGACTGCCCAACATGCCCAGAGTGATGGGTGTCACCACACACGTAAAGATCAAGCTTTTTGTAGTGTGTCGTTGCTTCATGTTTTTTAGGTTTGGGTCTGTACCACCAACCCTGAACAGGCTGCGTGGGCCGGGTCCTGCGGGCAGTGGGGAGTGTGTGTCTGCCAGGGCAGGCAATAAGCTGACCCTCCAGAGCTCACCATGACCCGCTTCGTTGCAGCTCTGTGCCCGCTGCAGAGTGGCAGGCCTGCATCGGTGAACTGAGCAGAGCTATTGGAGAGGCAAGCCCACTGTTCAGCACAGCTGAACACGAACCGGAGCATCCTCCCCTCACTTTCCAAAGCAGGACAATGTCTTTAAGTTAAAAAAAAAGGGTTAACACAGCCACAAGTATCAATGGGTGAACGGTCTGCAGTACTTAGTGGGTTGTAACAAAGGTTGGTTTGAGCCAGCTTCTTTAATAAGCATGTGGCATTTCCAAGTCCTTACAGTGCCCTCATTGGGCTCAAAAGTGGAGATGAGTGGAGAAGGCACTGCGTACGTGACCCGTGGCACTTCCAGAAGGTGAAGCGCACACACAGTGGGGGCAGTTCCTGGGCCTGCGTTCAAGGTTCCTGCACACGGCTGACCATTCCCTGGCACTCCAAGCTGCTGTTACAAACTGGCCTCCCACTACTCAAGGCAGAAAGTAGACGCTGGGCTTCAGGAGAGGGAAACGTTTGCTTCACAGCACAGAGGCCCAGTCTTCTGCTGGGATTCCAGTGACCACAGGTTCCTCTGCAATGCTGCTCCTCTCACACTTCAGAAGTAAAGCTATGGGCTGCCCTCAGCGTCATGCCTGCACGGAGTAGAGGTCTGTACCCACCCCTCGCTCTGCAAAGCACCTGCCCGAGGTCCATACACACACTGGGTTAAGGATTGATTCTCTTTGGGCCCTTTGCTCTCTTCAAGGGGTGTTTATTGTGAGTCATCTCTTCTCTTAGAAGATCGTCTGGACCAGAGAGGACTCTGACTGAGTCGGATCAAAATGTGAATGGGCTGGGCTTTGGGACTGGTCAGAACCAGGCTATCAGCGCATGTGGAGGGGCCCCAGCTCCACGCCTCTCACCTGGCCCAGGGCCTGGCATGCGAACACTCAGCAAGTATCTGCTGAGGGGAGTCAGACCGGTCTCTTGGAAGAGAGCTCTGCTATTCCCGTGAACTCTGCAACCACGCTGCACACATGGCTCGTGCTGGGAGCCAGGGAAAGGCCTGAGAAACCCCAGTTCATATCCTGCGTCTGCCGCGTCTTAGCTGTATGCCATCAGGGCACCAAGGGCTCCAAATGTATCTTAGGTATCTCCCTATTTTAAAGTCTATGAGGTGGCTGGGAAGGACAGCATACAGGAAGGTTAAAAAAAGAGAAGAAAAGAATATTAGGAGGAAGGTAAAATGCAGGTAAGAAAAAAGGTGATGCTACTGGTAGAATTACATGGAAAATTGATATCCCAATCCTGAGTGCTCTGACGGAGGCAGGCTCTAATCCTCCAGGCAGCTGGCACAAAGAAGGAATAATCAATTATATGATGCACAAAAGACAGAAGTTAAAAACAAACCAATTACCTGAAAGATGTCTGGCTATTCCTAGTACTAAAATCTAAAAGGAGGTTCTAAATGGGTCTCATCATCATTACCAATCAGGCGGTCCTGGCTTCCTGCGATCGTTTTGTGCAGTGTCTTTCAATGATGGCCAAAGCCTTAACAGCAAAAAATACCGTTCAGTAACAACAACGCTAAGAGGCAAAACTGTGTGCTACATGTGTGTGTGTCCTACGGTTCTGGTTTAACCCAAGGATAAAATTCTGGGTACCCGGGGACTAGAGGCACCGTGTGCTCTACAGACACCTTTCATGGGCATCAGTGTTCACGAGGAGCTTTCCTGCGGCTGCACGGGGGAAAGCAGGTTCTACACAAAGGTAGGGGATCTGCCATTCGGACGTGTGATCATTATGAGCTCCTGTCCCTTAATCTTTGTCCAAACCTGTGGCTTCAGACTCTTCTCAGAAGGCAATTCAGGGTTCCCTCCCACTTCTACATCTGCTGTACCTATTTTACCTGATTCCCACGGGTGTGGTGGGGGCCAACGAATTCCAAGGGTTGTGAGGGCCCCTTGGAGAGTGTGATGCGTGCGGTATTGGGACTCAGTTTACAGAAACCGAGAACGCCGGGAATAAGGAAGGAATTCTAGCTCTCTGACTCTGGACTGTTGTCCCTGCTCTCTGGGAGACACAGGATAGGCAGCCACATCACCCAAGGTCCCAACCAGCAGCATCTGGCTCAAGGCGCTTGCTCCTGAGTGCTCCCAGGCCAGCCTGCCAGCGGCCAAAGGTCAGAAATAGCGTAAGACACACAGTCTGCATGATCCCATATGGATCTCCCTTTAAGTTTACACATTTTACTAATTTACTGAGATAGGTACAAAAATACATGCTACAGAGACAGGTGGTCACTAGACGAAAGTCTGAGGTCATCGGCCCAAGGTGCACTGGCTGTGGCAGAGGCTGGCCTGACCACACCTTACCACACGCAAGCCTGGAGCCCGAGGCTCCTCGTCTCTAGCAATAAACGGTTCTCTGAGGCGGGCAGAAGAACATTAAATATGTACCTAGCTAACCTATCAAAGGTAGCTAGAGCAAGAAAGGCTTGAACCAGGCAAACAAGAAGGGCCCTGAGAGTGGGGAGTATGGGCACTTCATCAAGCAGAGGCCCGGGCTTCTCTCCGCCGGCAGCACCATGTCCCCGAGACGCGAGCAGGCAGCTGTGCGGGAGCCGCGGCCACCCTGAGCAGGACCCTCCCCGGTTGCTCCACTGAACTGGTGAAAGGGACCACCTACGACCACTTGCTGTTTTTTATTTTTGATTCTTGGTTTCTGATTTTTAGTTTCCACTCCTCTTGCCTAAAACCCAATGTGAATCATCTCAGCAAACACCAAAGGAAAAGAAAAGAAGTGAAAAGACATCTGATTAAACAGACTCTGGGCGAGGAACCAACGACTCAACGTGACACGGTTTTACACCACTAAGTAAATACATTTAATAAAGTAAGGAGACACCAGCTGCCCCCAAGCCAGGGGTAAGGGGCCTGTGGGAAGAGTTTCCCTTCCAAGCTATCACCCAGGTTCTCAAGTGCACACTGCTGTAGGCCAAGTTCAGGTCACAGAATCCCAGTTCTGAGAAGCTGCTCTCTGTCCTCACCCAGACCTTCCTACTCCTGGAGCAAATAAGAAGGAAATTGCTCCATCAGCTCTCACATGCTTGGGAAAATGGCTGAAGCTTTGAATTCTGGCCTTCTGAAGGAACATTTCACAAATCATCTTCTTACTTTTTAAAATTTCTAAAAGAAACGTCTCCCTCCCCAGTCCTGAGGAGCCATACTTCTCTCGATAGGGTGCTTGGGGTACCGGGCTACCGGAGTGAGGTCTGTGTGAAGACTGGAAGGTCTGACAAAGTCTGAGGGAGTTTTTAGCCCAGAGTGGGTGTGACTTTGCATCTCTAGACTTTTCTGCACCAGGTCCTGGATACGGACTGGAACACACCCTGCAGGGAAGCAGGATGGTGCGGTGCACTCTGGACTCAGACAGAGTTTGCTTAACTTATCAGCAATGTGGCCTTGGCAAACCACTCAGATGGTCTGTGCCTCAGTTTTCTCATCTATAAAATGGAGATAATAGTAGCACCTACTTTATAGGGTTGTTAGGAGCATTAGGCAAATTAAATTAATAGTATATTAATAGTGCTTAAAACAGTGTCTGGTATTTATAAGCACTAAATAGCTAGTTAAGTATTATTCAATATTATAATAAAAACTAATTTCATAGTATTTAGCATTTATTTTGAGATTAAAATAAAAACTAATTTCATACTATTTAGCATGTATTTTTAGGTAAAAATTAAAACTCATTTCATACTATTTAGCATGTATTTTTAGGTAAAAATTAAAACTCATTTCATACTATTTAGCATGTATTTTGAGATAAGGAAAAATAATGTTATTTAATAACCGTACTTATCATTAGTAATTGAGAATTTATTCTTGTGATTTTTAGATTATATGAAAAGTGGAAGGACATATTTAATTGAAAGCATATGAGAGAACCATTTCGTTTGAGGTATGCGGATATATTCCAGCAGCCTCTGAGGTCCAGGGAGATCAGTCTGGAGCAGCGGCTTCTCAATCTGTCTCCTCTGCCTCTTAGCCGACGGAGAGCACACCGCTTCGCTTCTCAGAGTCTTGGTTTCATTCCTTATTACATTCAGATTATCATGTCTGCCCTGCCTGTCCCTCAAGGTTGTTGGGAACTTCAAATGAGACTATGTATGTGGAAACACTCAGAAACCACAAAGTGCAAAGCAAAGCGATTTCATTTCACACCAGGTCTCTTGGTGTTTGCCCCTCTGGCCGAGTGTAAGGACTCAAGCAATTACAAACTCTCATGGCCTTCAACCCCTACAGTCCAAATATAGCCCTGGGGCTAATCTAGCTTTGTCCCAGCTCTCCGAGGCCTTGCCCCAAGCTCCCTGCACTTTCCTGATGAGGACACAATGAAAGACTGAGGAGAACAGGTCCCCTCCCTCCTCCCGCTCTCAGGTTGTCCTCCCAGCCCTGCCTTCATTGGCCCAGGTCCCCAGTCCACCTCACCCCGCTTCCGTCCTGCGCTTGGCCTACCCTAGTCCCAAGATGATGAAGAAAAGAGACAGCGACACAGCAATTTGGCCAAGCCCGCGCTTCCTTCATCCCCTCCGACTCCTCCTCAAAGGCCATCCCAGGGCTCTTGCAGGCCCCCATTGTGTGGGTGGGACGGGGAGGGCGGTTCAGGAAAGGTGGTGCTGCCTCAGGGAGGCCCACGTCCTTGTCAGCAGCTCAACAAAACTGCATGTGTCATCACATTCCTGCTCAGGCCTCAAAGTGCAAAACATCTACAAAGCCTCAGGAAAAAAAGTGCGTCCAAGGGAGGCAGGAGGAGTACAATTTGCACAATGGAGAAGACCTTCATACGGAGCCTGTCACCTTCCTAGAGTCACCAGACAGCACAGCAGGAAGCCACCTCAAGAAGTCATCTGATCCAGGCAGCTCCACACGGCTGCTAAGCCTATTCTCAAAGGCTTCTAAAGAACCTGTACTGCCCACAGGGCCTTCTGTGCAGGATAATTACGATTTCAGTCAGGAAATTCCCCTCTTCCTCTCCAACGCCTCTTCTGCAGCCCAAACCAACCCCTTCACGGGACTTCAGGGTGGACGGAGGACTTGGTCACTAGCGGCCTGCAGCCCTCCGTGCCCGCGGCTGCGTGGCTCATTCGGTCCCACTTTGTGAGGGCGGCCAGGGTCCTGCACTCAGTTCCTAGGTGGGCTACGACTTTTGCCCGGATCCATACCTAGAAACTGGATTTGTAACTTCACTTCCCAGCTAGAGGCCTTGAAAAGTCAGGTCAGTGTCAAGAGAGGACATAGGTGGGGATGGGTCAAGGACAACGCGCCCCACTTCTAGAAAACACTCCCAGCACACTGCGCCCAACAGGGGCCAAGGAGGACATCCCTAAAGAAAAGAACTTCGCATCTCCCAAGACCCGGATTCTAAAAATCGGGGAGAGAGCTGCGGGTGGGGAAGGCAGGAAGCGGGGCTCACATTTCAGGAGTGGCGCACTCCGGGGCCCTCATCCTCATGCCGTCCTTCAGGCGGCTGCAGAAGTCCTCGTCCATTTGCACCCCCGGGTACGGAGACCCACCTGTGGGAGACAAGGTGGGAAACACAAGGCTCGTCAAAGCGTAGGGCACAAAAGACCATGAGGGAGCAATTGGGTGTTTCCGCCTCCCTTTAAATGATGTTTTAGTAACAAATTCCCAGTGATCAGAACGGATCCCGGTGCACGGTACAACACACAGAGGAGCTCAGCAAATCCTCGCTAGTGACGCACTTGGCCAGTGCGTCCCCTGCTGCCCGGTGTCTCGTGCCCACAGGCCACTCCCATGGCTGTTCCGGACTGTCTGGTGGGGCAAAGGGTGCCATCTGAAGGGCCCTGCCCTCTCCCCACAAGGGACTCTAAAGAAATGCCATCATTAGAGACTCATCCTTTGGGTTAATGAGCTTCCTTTTACAAAGCCATGGCTGCTTGTGGATCATTCGTCGTACCTCAGTGAGGATGATTTTAATTCGAAACTTTCTTGCACACTCCTCACAGCACTGGGGGACGAGGAGTTGTGACCGGCCTGAGGGAAGGGGGCCTTGGGCTGAAAGGGGCCGGCTGGGGTGGGGGTTGCCTGCGGGCAGAAGTCTGCAGACCTGAGGGTGCCATAGGGACCTAGATTTTGTCTTGTGCCGGTTTTACTCTCCAAGATTCCCCTGTAGTCTTTCCCTGTTAGGGGGATTCTTGACTGGGGGTGGGGGCTGGCAGGGCCTCCCAACCCGCTCAGTTCCAGCGTTCAAATCTAGTCTATCTCAGCATTTGTTTGTCTGCACTTTCTAGTGATTACTGCTGGTAGGAAGCAGCTGGGAGACGTGCAGTGCTGGCACCGTGTCACTGTGGGGCCATTGCGGCCGCCAAGCTGCTTTCAAAGACTGGAAGCAACAGGTGCCTGTCATCGAAAGCAGGGGAATGATTTTTACACATTACAGGAAACCAGGGATGTTACTGGGTGACTTTTATTTGCTGCAAAAGGCAAATTTTTGGCATAGCCCAAAAGACTCTTGGCTAGAACTCGAGTTTGGGAGGCCTCAGATCATGAACGTGTGTCTGCAAGCACATGTGGGCTCTGTGCACATCTGTGTGCCTTGAACAAGGTTTCCAACCACCCATAGTGCATGTTATTGCAAGTGGAATAAATATAACCAGTGTTCTTTATTGTTCATCCAGCAGAAACCAGTGTCCAGGGCTGTATCCTGTGCTAATTATCAGAGGCACTAGGAAGGCCTTCTAGTAACACCCTCCCCGCTGGTTCAGCTGCACATACCAGGGCCTTTCCTAAGAGAAATTCTGAGAAGGGAGGAGACGTTGGGAGGGATAGGGTAAGAGTGTTAGAGATCTGTATGTTTGAGGAGTTAGAAGCACAGGGCTAAGTACAGCAAAAGATAAACCTGACTTCGGATTTTATACCGGTGTGACCTTGTTCATGATCATATAAGCCACTCTTACAGTAGGGAGCACATGTACACACGCCGTTACTCATCTGAGATTCTACATGGACTCATGCTTCCCTAAGGGTTTTCAGTTCTTGTAGGTGCTGATCTAAAGGTTGTGTCTACCCAAAGGACACTCAGCAGAAGAGGCAGACATTTACTTTTGGGCTATTTGATCTCTTCCTTCCCCCAAATTTACCTAAGGAGAAGATTTCCCACAGCAGTACTCCATAAGACCACACGTCGCTCTTGGTGCTGTAGATTTTGTCAAAGATAGATTCAGGAGCCATCCATTTCAGAGGAAGTCGAGTCTGGAAGAGGGCAAGGGGGCCTTGAGCAGAAGGGCATGAAAACAAAGCACATCCAACCCAAGTGCCAATGGGGTCAACTTCCAGATAACACTTGGCCCATAAGTCATTTCCTAGAGAAGCTACACTTTCCTAACATAGAGAAAATCCTTCTGGCATGCAGCGTTATGCTAAGAGAGAGAGCTACGAGAGTAATACTGAGTCCCATGAAGGCAAAAGATGTTTAGTTAGCCCCTCTGATGTGTTCTGCACGTTCTAACTCCATAGCTCTGTAAGAAATCCTCCCCTGAAAAAGGGCCTGCAAGCTACAGGAACACTAAGGGCTTGGAAAAGAGTGACTGGAGTTAGAAGACATCCTAAAAGTTGATACTGATTTCCAGGAATTTTTCCTAAGAAGGAGGACTCTGGAAGGCATTCCTATGCAGACAGGATTTCAAAAGTCACTGAATGTGGAAAGTGGGCAAAGAACTTGGAAAGAAGGAGGGAGGCAAAGGCATTGGAAAGAAGGAAGATCAGTATTTAAGGAGAATGTATGGCTGGTTTTCAAGTGTGCAGACAAAACTTTCTCTTCTAGATAGCAGGAATCCCGGTGCTTTAGGCCTCACCGCTTTAGATGGATGGAGACTGATGGGAAGTACAGGATAATAGAGAGACAGAGAGGCAAATATTATAGAAGGGGGGCAGAGAGAGGTCAAAAGAGACACATAGATGGAAAAGAAGGACAGACTGACATAGGTAGATGCCATCTTTGTAGAACAGGGCTCTGAGGAAAGTTTGTTTGTTTTCTCCCCCTTTTATAAAAGGAGATTTGGAGTAGTGGTTCTCAAAGTATGGTCCTGGGACCAGCTGTGACAGCACCATCTAGAAATTTGTTAGAAATGCAAAGTCTCAGCCCTCACCCAAGACTTACTGACTTAGAGAGTCTGAGGTGGGAGCCAGCAAAACTAGTCTAACAAGCCTTCCAGGTGATTTGTATGTTCACTCAAGTTGAGAACCACTACTGTAATCACCAGAGCCCAGACATGCGCTTGAACCCTTGGGGTACAGGCTGGAGAAGGGAGGACACAGGAGGTCACTTGCAAATGTGAAAAACAACACTATGTCCAAAAACAAGTAGGCAAGAGAAGCAGTGCGCGCTAGCGGGGAGATGCCAGGCATGGAAAACACAAGAGGGAGGTAAGCCGTTTCCTCTGCAGCGAGATACAGCTGATGGTCTCCCCGCCCTTTCCTGAGTGAGACACCTGCTGAATCAATCATCGAGTTAATTCCAAGGCAAGAGTCCAGGCTGTTCTTTTCAGTGGTACAAGGAACTCCCACAGGAGTCAAAGGAAGGTAATGATAAGGTCTCAGCAAGGCCCCACCAAACGTTTCTCAGCTTAGCCAGTCTCGGGTGGCGCTTGCTGCCCTAAGGTAGCAAGCCAGGGACCAGGGAAGAACAGAACCAGGGGACAGTGGCCTTTCTGGGACCTACGCGAGGGCTCTCAGGGATGCAGCTCATCTGGACTTCCTGTCTTCACAGAAAGCACATGATGGATTTCAGGGACTACTGCCGAGGAAGCGTAAATATTTACCAAGGGCTTCGGTCTGTGGCTTAAAAATGATAGCGTATAAATGAGTCAAATAAACATCAAACTGACTTACATCTCCTTTTCTCACATAATCAGGGTTCTTATAAATATCCCGGGCGAGGCCAAAATCACAAATCTTCACCACATTGTTCTCAGATAAAAGAATGTTTCGCGCTGCCAGGTCCCGATGAATGCACTATAATAAAACAGTTGCATAATCAATGCATTTCCTTAATCTAACCGACTAATTTCCTGTGCCTTTACAGTGTCATTATTTTTAATTTGAGGATCCACTTCACATACTGTGAAAGAAGCGACTCTCAGAGCACATGGAGTTACCATAAATATGAAACACTTCTTTGCAAATCAGGTCCCTTGAGGCCCCGAACTCAAGAAATGCTGTGAGTCTGCGGGGCTACCATTTGGTAGAACACCATCCTAATCAGTGAAGTTGCAATCTGAGTTTTCCCGGTGAGCAAAACTTCCCCACAGCCTTTAATCCTGAGCTGCTGAGCTCAGGTCTTTATCCAGCTGCAATTCTGGGGGACAGCCCCACGTGGACATAAGAGTAGAAGCTCTCCTGTGAAGCCATGTATTCTGAGATTCTGGCCGGTTCTGAAAACATGCCAGAGGGCACCGTGGACAATGGTGGCCAGACTGATCTAGTCTGAAACCTGGAGAGGTGTTCCCTCGATCCAAGTTCCACCCACTGGTATCCAAAGCTCATCATTCTCAAAACTCTTCCTATCAGGGCAAATGAAGGCACTTGTGGTGATGTTTATTCTCTATTTAAGGAAAAAGGTAAAAGCAAATACAAGGGAAAATGGATTATTGTAAAGGTGTGTGTCCAGGCCTGGCAAAGAAAAAAAAACAGTAAAGAGCGAGGCTGACCTTTCTGGAAGACAAAAACTCCATGCCTCTGGCCACTTGAAAACTGTAAGAAATCAGATCTTCCATGGTGATGGGCTCCTTGTAGAAACCGTCGGAATCTGGAAAGCATTAGAACTGTAACTGTTTGTAATGGCTCTTGTTACCCTACCAAATCCCAGTTTATTGGAACAACGTTAGCAAAACATAAAACAAACCAACAAGTAGACCAGAGTTCACTTTCAGGAGCATATAAATTTCAACATGAACATCAGAGATTTTTCCAGGCCTGCAGCCTATTTTACCCAAGCACTGAGGGGGAAGGAGGATGATGAGCCCTCAAGAAAAAAAGGCCTGAGGGTAGACAACTGGACGGTCCCTGTCAAAATTAGTAACTCTGTAAATAATCTGAATTCAAATCTTATCTCCTCAGGACACTACCCTTCAAGTCTCCCACGGATGTTTATTAGGGTGATAAATAAGAAAAAAATTTCAGAGATGCACAGTATGTTATAAAAATATCTCAGACTGTAGGACAGGAAGGAATTAATACCTACCCTCCTCTTCCTCAACATCACTCAGACTTTTATCTTCCTGGAACCCAGAGCTCGCGAAGCTCTCACTGCTGGTGACGCTATCTAGTCTCGGTTTCTTGCCTTGCTCCAGGCCTGGCTCCATTTTTTCTTTCTTTGGTTCCACGTGCAATGCTGCATCCTTTGAAGAGACCAAAAACACAGGTGACAGGGAGCTCCAGCACAGCGAAGGGAAGCAGGACCCTCAAACCGGCAATCGCCAGAGCTGGGAGCATTTCATTCACAATATGGAAAGTGAACTAACAGCAAGGGCCCGTGACGACCAGGTGCCTGGCTACTTCTGGGGCGGTGGGGTCTATTCTGCTCTTGACAGGGCGTCTAGATAGCATCTTAGGTCAGATAAAAGAATATTAATAGCGGCTGCTATTTACTGAATGCTTACTCTGTGTGAGCCAGTATGTTACAAGCCTTCGATTTTATGAAGCAGTTCTTACTTACACACAGAGAAACAGGTTCAGAGAAGTTAAGTAATGAAAGTCACACACAACTAGTAAAGGGTAAAGCTTTGAACCCAGGTTTGGCCAACTCCCAAGTCTGTGCCCTTCACCACTTTTCCATACCACACACCATCTTGTGACAGATGATATGAGTGACAGAGAAGGATCCCCAGTGTACTTGGGCTTCACTTTGTAATCCCCAGGAGAATTTATGAGAGAGGGCTATAATTAGCAATTTCTCTGGTTCCTTGGGGAAGGAGGGAACATGAACATTCTCTTTTCTTCCATTCAAAATAAAGACACAGTTTGATCATAACAAGGGTAGAAAAGGCCTTTCACTCTGGACTGGGTATCCAAGCCCTGGTTTGTCATCTGGCTCTTCCATTAACTGCCACCTTGGGCAACGTCTCCTTACTTTTCTGGGTTTAATTTTCTTCATCTGAAAAGCTCTATCATCCTGTGATTTTATGACTCGTAGAAAAGGAGTTGTTGCTTCTGCATGTCCATGTGGAACCAGAAAAGATTGTCATTGTCTTTAGTAATTCATCTAGTAACTAAGACACCAGGATCCTAGCACTTCCGGTGGCTTCATGACCAGACTACGTTCCTAGCCTCGGTTCTGTGGAATGGCAATACTGAGACAGAGGCCGAGAGGGGCTGGGGTTCAGTGGCGTCCCACGATCCACCTGAACAGTGTGGCAGTGCTAGGACTAACCAGCCTCCCCATCCTTCCTTGGCTTTTCTAGAAGTGTCACAAAGCAGGAGTGATCCCTCCACTAGAGGGCACAGTGGCAACAAGCAGAGGACGGAGGGAGGGAGCTTCAGGAGGGACAGCTAACACACTCTGAAAGTGTGGAGGGCACATAGGTTCCTGTCCCCTGAAAGGAGACCTTCCAGTGTTGCTGGGGGAGGCAGGCCTCAGGATGAACACCCACCGCCAGCACAGGTAACCCGCCTGCGGGCAGGTAAAGAATATCACTTGTTGTTATTGTGCCTCCATGAGGCAGTTAGGTTTGATTCTGCTCGGGTGGGGACTGGAATTTTATTTTTCACAAGACCCTTCTCAGGACGACGGAGGGCATCAGAGAAAGTGCTGGTAACAGCTAAGGAGAAAAGTGCTGAAGGGTACTCAGGGCTCAGCATAAAGAAAACTGTCTCTGGGTAGCCTTCTTCCTCCAGCCTCCCAGACGCAGCCTGGGAAAGGTCCCCAAGGACCAAAACTCAACCCACTTTCTAACTCCCAGTCAATGGTATAGTCATCTCTGCTTATCAGTAACCAACTCTGTTAAATAAAGGTTAATTTACTGAACTTTCGGGACTCTGGCAGATCACAGTGAAGTTATTACAAATATTATTTAAGGATCCTGGTGAATTTACTTGGAAAATGAAATATTCCACTTTCAATTTAGGCTTTTAGTTTTGTTTTTCCTTTTCCTTCACCTTCTCTTTATCTTCCTTTGGGTTCCAAATATGAAAGACAGCCATGGGTTTTCCATGCACACGCTAAGCTCCACCAAGTTGCACAGGGAGGCGAATCATTAAATATAGCCAGAGAAGGAAGCAAACTCTTCAAAACAAAGGATGCACAAACCCAAACGTTCCATCCTGCCCAGGTCCCTGGGGTGTTCTGCTGGCTTAGCTCTTCCTGAAGCCAGTCCAGGATTCTAGGACTGAGTAGGAATGGCGCTGTTCTCAGCCAGAACACCACTTTCCACTTTTTATTATGCTTTCTTCACCTTCTTCGTTGTGATGCACAGAGAAAGCATCGGAAGGAGAGTCAGGAGAGCTGAGTTCTTTCTACCCCTGACTTTACCTTGTGGTAGGTACGTCCTTAACCCAACTTCTCTGGGCACATCTGTAATCTAAGAGTGTGAACTAGCTAATCACAAACATCCCTTCCAGCTTCAAGATTCTAATTATTAGAGGGCCTGGTTTAAAACTGGGGAAAATATATTGCATATATTGCCAGACTGGTAGAACACATGTGTCTTTGGTTAGATCAAAGTTTGGGGGATGAGAGAACGGGCCAGCTGCCCAGTGGTTCTTACTTGTGTGCGAAGACTCTTGCCCACATGACACAGATGGGCATCATTCTTTGACATCAAACACTTTATCCACCACAGAGATCAGCAGCATTAAGTTGGACTCACCCAATTTTTTCTATCTCAGTGGGTTGACAATGATGATAATGATGATGGTGGTGATGATGGTGAGGGTGATGATTAACATTTACTGAGTGCTTAACTGAGACATTTTGATTCTCTCAATAATCCTATCAGTTGGGTTCTATCATTAGTTCCATTTACTAAATGAGGGAACTGAAACTTAGATTGAGTAACTTGTCCAAGGTCCCAGATTTTACAAGAGGTAGAGACAGGATTTAAATCCAGGAAGTCTGATTCTGGAGTCTGAGTACTTAACCGCTACACTACAAGAATTCATCACTAATGCTGCTGATTACTGCTTAATAATGTTGAATCACTGTCCCGTGGACTTCTTCAGCCCACAGAAGGACATAGCATCCATGCCATATGTCATACTGGCAAAGTTTTAGTGAATTATTTCTCCTCTGTGCAATAATCTCTTTTAAGCCTCGTTTTCCTCAGGTCTGGGACCCATGTGTTCCTTTTATTACACAGCTTTTACTGAGTGGATCAGGCTGCTTCACGGTATATGTAGGGATAACATGGGTGGCAAGGGTGTCAGGAAGCGGGAGGAAGGGCAGTAGGAAGGCAAGATAATGATTTCTAGCTCTGGTGCCATCGTTGGTCTATTGCTGATTGTACAAGTCACTCACTGATTATGTCTTTAATCACAATCTAATCTAATAAATGGAGATAATTATATTTGCTATCATCTTCAAGAAACAAGTGACTTGTGTATGTGTGTTTGTGTGTACATACACATGCACACATACATATATCCATATATAGAGACAGAAATAAAATTATCAAGATGATTTGACAGGTATTTAGATAAATGGCTAAATTTAATCATCAATTATCACTGCATGCACTGGGATCAAATGATTCCCTGTGCTATCCACAAAAGAGTGTGACAGATTAGCATGGAAGGAAAACATGGAAAAAGGAGAAAAAGCAGAGATTGAGTTTTAAGCCTAATCATTAATAGAATATAGATTTCTCTTGCTTTATGCTGCTATAGCCTAAATGAAAACTCATTGTTGTCTTTAAAAAACTCCAACCTTTAAAACCCTTACCTTGTTCAGAAAGAATAAATCACGTTTGCTCTTCAGGTAGTTGGATAAATTTCCATATTTGCAGTATTCAACTATCACCATCAGAGGCCCTGCAGCCAAAACAGCACATGCTCAATCACACCCAGCCAGTCAGACATTCAGCCTGCCTGAGAAACCTCAAACGAATCCATCTTTTCATTAGCGGGCCTAGAAATGCAGTTTAGGGATGAGAGGCCCATGAACACGATGACTTTTCCAATTTAAAGCTGAGAAGCGGTTTAAAAAATACACCAGAAATAGAAGAAAGGGGTGGGGGAGTGCAGGGAAACATTAAAAAGAAAAGAGTAGAAGAAGGAGAGAAATAACTTTGAAGAGGGGAGAAGCAAAAGCCAGCCACCCCCTCTGCCTCTTAGCCAGACCCTGGTGAACAGCTCCTTCCGCCCTCCCAGGGAAGAGAACAGGCTACCTGGCCTGTTTCCCCGAGCTGCCTGGCAGCGTCTGCACAGAGTTTGCCTTGGGGCTTGTGAGAGGACCTAAAGCAGCGGTTGGCAAACTTTTTTTGTAAAGGCTCAGACAGTAAATATTTTAGTCTTTTCAGGCCAACCAACTACTACTTAATTCTGCCTTTGTAGCCTGGAGACAGCCGTGGGAGATTACAACCAAACGAGCATGACTGTGCTCCCACAAAACTTTATGAACGCACAAATTTGGATTTCACATAATTTCACGTCACGAAGTATTATTCTCCTTCTCATATTTTCCCCCCAATTATTTAAAAAGGCCAACCCATTTTAAGCTCACAGGCTGGCTGTGGTTTGCTGACCCAGGGTCTGAAGGAAACAAGAGTGTCGGGAAGGAAGTCCTGCTGCACCGTGGGTCCCATGTGGTGCCCCGAAGGCCTCCTCTCCCCTGCCCTGCCCGGCGCTCCCACCGCATGCCCTGGCTGGACACGAGGTCGACAGCTTGAGGACCACTTCCGGGTCAAAGGGGGAACGGCCCGGAGCTGCTCTGCCCCAGGGCATGCCGGGAGCCTGGAGGGCCCCCCCCCCCCAGTTCTGAGGCGGCTGGTCCAGGTATGGTGGTTTTCTGTTACTTTGAGGACTTTGCTAGTTTTTAAATGTATGTTAGAAATCCTAACAGCACCTCCTCTTCCCTCAGGGTCCCGGAAGGGGAAGTCGCTTCCTACATCTCCGCTGCAGAGGAGGATTCAGCAGATCTTGGCTCCTGCCCGGAGTCCAGCAATCCTCTGGGAGCTGAGGAGCTTCAGTTTTACAGACGCACATTTGAGGCAAATAGAACGAGGTTGCCACAAAGAACTTGAGAAGGGCTTATGAAGCGATTACGGAGAAGCGGGCGGGGCTGTGCCTAGGTCGCTCCCCAGGACTTCTCTCCTCTCCCTACCTACCACCACCCCCAGCAGGTAGGTCTGCCCCGACTACCCTTCTTCCTCACTACCTTTGTTGAGAGCTGGGAAAACATTCGTGTGCGTAGCTCCTTTGTACCCTTCTTTCTGGCTCAGTGACCAGACACCTACACCCAAGCGCTAGCCTTGCCACAGGGGCGGGAAGAAAGGTCTGTGAGAACAAGCGGGAGCTCTTAATCATAAGGCACAGCTCTGTCCCTGTCCTGGTGAGTAAGGCCTGTCTGCATGGTGGATCTGAAGGGACAAGGGCCCTGCGGTTGTCCCCTACATCCCTTCCTCCTGGGTCCTACCGGTAGGGATTCATCCATTCCTGTAGGTGAAGCCTCAAGGAATGCTCAGCCTTCTACGTTTTTACCGTAGTTCCGCTCACACTCGCTCAAAGTCAACCTGAGGGAAAAATGTCCTCCACTTGGCCTAGAGCCTGCGAAAGGAGATCTAAGAGGGAGTCCTCTTCTGAACCTTTAAATTAACTGTTCAGGGAAGGCACTTCTAGGATGGGAGCACCTTTCCATAAATGACAAACTGTTTCCTCTGGAGCTATTGAGAGGTCGTTTTCCCGGAGGTGGGGAAGAACAGGGTTGGGAAGAAGGAGCCATGCGTCGGGGAACGCTTCTCTCAGTGTGTGCACGGGGAGGTGCAACAGGCTCTCCCCTTCTCCTTTACCTCCTTGCTTGGTGCAGGCTCCCAGCAGGTTAACCACGTTCAGATGGTGGCCGATGTGGGTCAAGATCTTGAGCTCGGTCATCAGAGCTTTGTACTCGCTGGCCGTGGCCCCCTCTGTGTGAGAAGCAAGGAAGAGTCAGGGCCACAGGACAATGGGGCTCCTTCCGCCCGAGGAGGCATTCCTGCCCTCCTTGTTTGTCAGTGCTCAGCCTGTTGCTTTACTAACTTCCCCACATTCTACAGAAAGGCCAAGTCTCCAGACTGTTTTCATTACTCCCACCCTCCTGAGCCAACATCCTTTTGATTACAGTAAGGCCCAGTGCAGTGGTGGGGTTAGTCACTGGACATTTCCTCTTGGTGGACCTGGGTCTGTTCAGCAATGTGCTGACTCAGAGCTGGGCACCTCATGAAAGTGCCTTCCAGAGACTTCCCTCCTGTCAGAACCAGGTACAGCAAGAACCCTGTAGGCAGGGCATACACCTCCATTCCCCTCTTCTTCCACTCTCCCCTTTGCGAGTCACAAAGAAGGAGCACACGGGGTCTGTAAGGGCGGAATAGCCACTTCTGTAAACTTCTTTGCAATGTGTTATTTTCTCCCTGTAGCCTTTTTCTCCCTAGAGTTCACAGGGTTATCTCAGGCTGTGTGAATCCATAGCATCTGACTTCAACTTCATTCTCAGAGATAAGCCACAGAACTCTAAGAATTAGCAGAGTCTAAAGCCTAAATTGAGTTTGCTCTGTTTGTTTTTACTAGTTAATTTTTAAGGTATTTAAAATTTTAAAATTACTTTTAGAAATATAAAAGTCAATTAATCTTGCTGTAAAATAGTCCATCAATATGAGTTGGAGTAAAGAGATATGGAGTCCAAGGATCTGGAGTAAAAAGTGAAAGCTACTCTAACCCACTGACCTTCCTAGAAGCAGCCACTGTTAATAGTCTGGGGTTCAGACCTTTTTCTATGCATTTATAAATATATGTACCTGATCAAAGGCCATTTTTTTGAAGGTTTACAGAAATGAACTCATATATATGTATATATAAATGTATTTTTAAAATTTGTTTTCCCCCCTTTTCAGTATATCGGAGACGTTTTTCCATCCTTTTAAATAGTATTCCTGACATTTAGAGTTTCTACAGTTTTCTTGCTATTATATAAATAATGCTGTGATAGCCTATGTATAATCTTTGTGCACATATGCAAGTATTTCTCCAAGATAGAGTCTTGGAAGTGGGTCAGAGGTTTGTGCAGTTAACACTGTCACAGAGCTGTAGATACCGACATAGTATTTCATAAGCACAAATCATTTTTTAATAATAACCAGATAAACTCCAGAAGCCTCCCAATGGGGCTAGGGTTGGCTCATGGAGATGCTCAACAAATATTTTTGGTTAAATAAACATGATTACTCTTCTCATTTCAGACATGGGTGTAAGGTCCAAAAAGGTTAAGGTTTTTGCTCAAGGACACTTTGAAAAGCTTTGGACTCGTGGCCTTTGTTTGACATTCTGCCTTTTCTATTTGTTCCAGAAACAGATGGCCAACCAATTTAAGCAAGAAAGCTGAATTAAAATGGTTTTTTAGGAATTCTATCAAATGAGTAATATGACAGTCTCTTTCAATCAATGCTGATGGCTAAAAAGATACATTTATAAAGATATTATATACACAATTTCTGTATTACATAGAAGATATTCTCTGGGCCTTTAAAAAAAATCTCAAGTCAGAATTTTCTCCCTTCAAGCTCATCAGTGCCTCCAAGCATTTCTGCCCCTTTGGCATAGAGAAAAACCAGGCTGTGTTTCTCAGATTGTTCCGTTTATAGGCAGGGCCACAGGTGTTACCTTGGACCCACAACAGATGGTGTGTGGTAGTAAGCAGGGAAATGGGACTAGCTGGGGAAGCAGATGCTTCCAGATTTAGTTTCGACTTATCTCTAGGTTGGATATTGGATTACCTCCCTAAAGCAGGCCGGGATCATTTTCAGGATTTTGGAGCACCAGGCCAATATTGGAGGCCAGGTCTTTGTACCCCTCTTTTGTGGCACCGTGGCATGAGGGAAAGAGCAAGGCACCCAAAGCTGGAAGACTTTCGCACACAAAACCTTACTTTTGCACTGAGCACCTGTGTGGCCTCACAGAGGCTATTTAACCTTTCTGGGCCATATTTCCTTATCTTCAGACTGGGGATGATAATATCTACCTCACAAGGCTGTTGAGAGAAAATAAGAAAGATGGCAATTTTGTGTGGTTCAGCCTAATATATTGAAATATATGGTGATGCCTCTTGTCTTCAGAACCTGGGCTCAGAGAAAGAGTGCTGACATGCAGGGATTCTCACAGAAATGCCTGCCATCATCTGGGTAGTCCACCCTGAACGAAAGTTCTGACTTGTGCATGCAAAACTCCTTCCCAGGCCACATTCAGAGTAGAACTGGCAGGTTCTTTGTAGAATTTTGTCCGTCATTCCTTGATGAGGACAGCCTTTTGAGGTAGAAAATGTCTTTTCATGGGGCTTTTGAAATAGTGAAGTCAGTGCTAGAAGATTAGGAACTTTGGAGTCTCTCTAAGCAAATGACCCTTCCTGCTGGAGCCTGTCCCAGGTACCTGCTTAGCTGGGCTTACGGCTTCCAGGGCCTCAAAATCCCTTGGCAATGTCTTGGAGACTTTGGAAAGTTAAAAACTGCCCTCTGAATTTTCAGTCCTGTTCCTTAAAAATAAGTTGAAATAACACAAAAATTCTGTCATGAAGGAGGAAATGAAGTATTTTATAGAATTTAAAGGAGATATGAGTCTTTGGGACATTCGGTTTACAAAGTGTTCACTGATTCTTATTTTTAATCTGTCTTATGGCAGTGGTCATAAGTCACTGTGCAATTTGGCTCTGCCTCCCAGCACTTCACAGAGTCGTATCTTTCAATACTAGAAAGATATTTGAGTTTTTTTTTTTTTTTTATTTTCTAAAGTGGAAATGTTTTATGGTCGGGGCTTGAGTGTAAAATAGTGTAGAGTTCTGATGAGCTCAATTGTTTGAGCAGTATCGTTTCACTTTATAGTTAGGTCAAGCCCAAGCTAAGCCTTTGGGATGTAGGATGTGCAGCTAAGTTTCCATTACACCATCACAGCGGATCATGCCAAATTTGAACCTGTGGTTACAATGGGCTTAAAAGTCTCTGCTAGTCTAGAGTCTGAGCTGTGAAAGAAGAAAGACCTTTGAGGTGACAGAGATGGTTTTCCCATGGACAGTGCTGGATTGTTCCATTTGTAAGGTTTATTCTGAGCTCATCCTGGCCTAATCTGAAACTCCTGGGGCAAAGGGGTTTATGTGGCTAGAGCAGAAATAGCTCGTGTCTGTTTCTAGGCTACATCCAACTTGCACCGACATTTAGGGAATGCAAAAAGGTGATGGATCAGTTGAAAGCTAAACGACAGCATAAATACCTTTCAGCATTTTCACAGCCACAGTCCGGCATGTGGGTGACTTCTTAATGCCAAATGCAGATGCTTGAACCACTTTTCCAAAAGCCCCTCTTCCAAGTGATTTGCCTACAATGAAGAGAAGACATTGGTTTGTTGGTCAAGCAAGGAGGGTAAGTTTAAGTCTTTTTCAGGAAGGAAATGGCTTTTCCTATGTGTATCTGTGAGGCATGTCGCTTTAAATGGCATCTCCAATGAACTGACCCCCAAAGGAGACCAAGTAAGGGACACATTTCTGGGGTCTCTTCCTTCCAGCTCTTAACTCTGCTTCTGAGGCCCCACATCCTTCAGAGCTAGGATAGTCCCCAGAATGCATTCAGTGAAGGTAGCTGTCCAGTTTCCTTTTCACAGTCTCCTCTCAGAGGATAGATGCCACCAAATCTTGTGTGGTCTCTTCCATTGTTTAATAACATTATTACCAAGAAGACTTTCCTGTGTTTAACCTAACTCCTTTTCTTGCCATTTCTGCTGATCCGTTTTTAGCAAAAAGGGGGAAATAGTGAATGGTAGTTACTGTTATGGGTTACAATCATGCTCATAACTTAAAAAATAATCACTAAATTATTTCTCAGGCTTTCTCATCAGGCAGAATATCCCCAGTCTTTCTGATGTATCTATATGAAGATTACAAGTCCTTATGTTCAGCACACGAGCCTGTCAACCAGTGACAATAATTTGTTTCAACCCCAGAGAGGTGGTTGCTAAATACGATAACAAAGCAAGGTTTCTTTCATGGTACCTGTAGTGTTACACTATAATGACTGTTAACACTTTTCTTTCCCCACTTTTAAAGGCGCCAAGTTGACTCAGAGGGGTAAGGACCATGTCTGAATCTTCACGGGACCTAGCCCAGTGCCTGGTGCAGAGAAGGTCCCTGTGTATTTGTTCAGAATGGAGAACAGCATTCAGGAATTTGTGGGATGCCCAAAGCAATTCTCATACAGCCTTCAGTAGCTAGAGGGGCCCATGGGATGCGACTGTGAGACTGATGCCCTTTGGGGGGTACTCCCTGGAGTACCTCAGCTACCTTTCATAGCAGGAAACAGCTAACTAGAACCTAGAGAAACAGTGCACCTCCAGCATGCTATGCCAAAAGAGTGAGCCAAAAAAGTCTTTTTTTTTTTTTTTTGGCTCTTCTGGGGTGCAAAAATAATCAAGAACAAAACGCCGCTTGTTAAAAGTCCATTCTGGCAGTTAGAGTGTTAATTTAACACAACTCCTCCTCTCCCAACCAAATCCTCTTTCTCAGACTGTCCCGGTAATGTGCCTTCAGTTAATTAACCTTCCTTCCTCCCTTCCTTCCTCATACTCCAATCCCTTTCCCCAAAGGGCATTTTTTGAAAGTTTCTTGTAAAGTTTGTAGAAGCTTTTCTGCTTCCTTATCATATTAGAACCTTTACTTTTATGCACAACGACTCAGTGACAAAAATGTCTTCACCTTGCTCTGCGTCACGAGTCTTCTGCTCCTCACCACCCCAGCGTCCAGTTAGGACACGGGAAGGTTTCATTAGCAGTGTACTCGTTAGGGCCTCGTCTGTCCCATAGGGACTTGCTCTGCATTAGGAGGGGAATGCTGGTGACATGACATGCTTTCCTCTGCTCAAACATACTCCTGTGGTGACTACTAAATGACATTCCTCCCAGCGCATGCAACATGGGCAGAACTATGGTCTGCTTCCTTCTTCACATAAAATTGTCCAAGAAAGTGACAGAATGGGGATTCTTAGGTCAAAATAAGAGCGCCTCCAATGGACCCCGAAAGGGCTGTGCATGGAAATCAGATGTGGAAAGAGCACTAGCAGACACCTTCCCCAGACTAGTAAAAACAGCATTTTGGTGCATTGTGGTTGGAAGTTTATTCCTTGCTTTATTTAGGATAAAAGAGCAATGTTTTTCTTCTGCAGTGCCTTCCACCATCTACTCTGAAAAGTGTCCTGAGCTTGAGAAATGGCAGCATGATCTCTCCACACACTCCCAGGACCCGCACTTGTCTGGGGCAGGTGGAGTCTTTCCCCTTCCACAGCTCCAGCCCCACACTCCTGCACAGCCCTCACAACACGCTTTGTTTTAACAAGTGTTTGGGGACTTTGCTGCATCAGTGAGAATAAACTGGTTCTCACTTGGCTTCCCTCAGCCTTTTCATGCATCCTCTTGGAAGCTGACTGCTGCCTCATGAAACAGCATGAAGCTATTATGGGCTGTTTAATCATCTGATGAGTTGGAATCCTTCTGCAGACCCGCGGTTCCAGTTTCAGGGGAGCCCGGTCGCCCTGGAGTTGACCTTGCCTGATCCTTCTTTTCCCTTAAAATTCTCCTTGGCGTTGCCTGGAATGCCACTTACTAGCTCGGAAATGTGCTAGGTCATCGTCGTACAATGCGAGGATATTGGAATCTCCTCCAACAATGTCCTGGACTGGCCAGGGTCCCTGGCCACTCTGGGAGAGTGAACGGCAGCACAGGCTGGGCCCTCGCTGGCATTCGGGGCGGGCACCATCCACTTGCCAAACTCCAATTCCCTGTATTGTTTCCCATGTTAGGTAATTCTGACTTTCAACTATTTTCCAATAGAAAGGTGCACCGTAGACATTACCCTAACTTCTGCGATAAATTCATAGGAGCTGAATTCTCTCCTGGGGTTGGTGAGGAATCATGACAAAATAAAAATAAAAATAAACCTCAAAACAAAAACCCAAACAAGTTTCTTTTTTTTCTGGATTTCAGGAATTTCAATGGTAGCAACACCTTTGACCCAAGCTCCAACCGCAGCCATCTATCAGGTACTATAAACTCTGACTCCCCTCCCCAAGGCCGCTGATAGTAACCTACAGTAGAAGCTGCTGAAATCAGACACAACTTGGTCTGTGTATTTCTCTACAGTGACAACCCCAGTGTAACTCTGCCCCTTAAACCAGCTTTTTCTCTCTAGCTATCTGGACTAATCCTGGTTACTTTCACTTGCTAGACATTACTTCAAATCACTTTCTGTCATTTATTTGGCTTAAAAAATAAATAAGTCTTGGGCCTCCCTGCTCCCACGTTAATCAATCGGAAGAGCGTGCCTCCAGGCCTGGCAGCGGCACTGCATTAAATACAAACGTAGCAGGCTTGACATACGCGCTCTCACCCATCAGAGACACTTAAATGGACATCAGCCAAATCATAGCATGTGGCAATTCTGGGAAAGAACAGAATGATAAGAAAGATCTGCAGTCAGGAGAATCTCCTGAAACGGGATTATGTAAACCCACAGCACCCCAGGGGAATTCTGGTAGGATTAGCAATGTCCCTGGGTATGATGTGGATCATACCAGGAAGAAACGATACCAGGAAGAAACGAAGAGATGGGACGGAAAGCTCATGTGTCCTACACTGGAGGAAGCATGTTTGATTGTGACTAATAACTCTGGAAAGCAGTGTGGCCTGAGAATGGCTCATGATACTGGGAAAATGATCCCATGTTCCCTGCCAAGGTCACTGAGGGATTGGGCCAGCTGCCATGTAATTTCAACTTACAGGAGGAACCCATCCAGTGTGCCACCTGCCCTTAACGACTCTAAATTTAGTTGATTTGTTTTCCTGTCAGTGGCCATTGCTGGCTTTCTCCTGTCTCTGCAGCTTTAAACTGATTTCCAAGTTTCCTCCCCAAGCCAAACAGAACATACTCCTGAAGCCAGTCCTTTCTCAGTGTAAGCAGAATCATTTCAAGGCCCAAGAAAAAAACAAGAAAAGGCTTTTTCCCCTGTCTGCCCGCTCACCCCAGTATAGTTTACATGCAGGGAGAGAGGCAGTACTATTTAATTTGGAAGAGCAGGGTCGTCACACTAAGAGTGACAAGCTCCAGGAACACTGGATCCACAATCTGTTTTCCTAGTTATAACTACTAATGACTCTGGCATACGCAGGAGGGCGTGGAAAACTTTCAGAAGCCACGATCCAAACGTTCTGGGTAGGAGTAACTGAGGCTGCAATTGTTTTGTAGCATTGCGGGCTGGAGATTAGTTTGCATTGTGACGTCTGAGCTGGGGAAACAGGGCTAAGCTGAGGGACAGCACACGTGCCTGCTGTTTACAGCAGCTGCACTACCTGGAAAACAGTCTTTGCTCTTCAGAAACGAAACCTGAATGGCTCCCCTAGGGCTTTCTTCTCTGGACATTCCCAACACCCCAGGAAATTCAAAATATGTAATTCGTGGATTTATGCAGAGAGGTTTTTTGATCCATAGCCTTGAAGAACACCAACTCTTTGACCCAATGTTTGATTTCACTGTTCCTCACTGTCTTCAATTATGTTCTGGGTCACATATTTCTGTCTCTTCAATAGTTTCATTATTTAATCCTCCTGTTGGAACCCCTCCCTTATCCACTTTTGCATCTATCTCCAGACCAAGCCCTTTGAAGGAAGAGACACAAGCATCTCTGCATCCCCAGGACTTAGACGAGTGTCCGTTGCTCAGAGAAGGTGCTTAATAACTGGTGGATGAACAGACAGGCGCACCCTGTCACCTCGTGCGGTTATCTCTACATTCCATTAGAATTATTTAACTTTGTGTTCATCTCCCTTGCTAGTTTGTGAGCAACTGGAGGGTAGAATCCCAGGTCTACTTTACTTCCGCACCCGTGAAGGCACAATGTGTTGCATGTAGTAGGTGCTTAGTGTAGGTTTATGAATGTGTTGAACAAATACCTTACCCAGTTTAAGTCTCTCCCGGGCAAACTCCCACTTGCTGGCATCATAAGGGAGCCGCTCACACTGCTCATCCAGGGGAACTTCATCTGGGTCCATTATAATCGATAGGTAGTCAGTCTTTATTTCAGAAGAAGACTGAGAAGTAAAGAGATCTCAAAGTCACCAAGAAGAAAACAACTTAAAAAGCCCTGGATACCCAGTCAACATCTGCTGCTATTCTGGCTCATTCGGTTGAAACTGTGGGTTCAGTACAGAAAGTACTACTCCACAAACACACTCACACATCACACTTGAGTGTGCAATTTCTATTAAACAACCCCCTACTATTCCCATACTGCATTTCTGTAATGCTAGCTCCACCATCCAATCTTGGATAAAATGCACTCAAATTCTCCTGTGACCTTATGTGTCGTGCTTGCTCTTAAACAATTATGTGATGAGGTTTTTCTAAAAAATGCAAAGCATATATATAAAGTCATTCCAAACAATGACTAAAAATAACTTTCCATGGCCATTTCTGTACAAGCAGGAATATACATTACAAATGGGCTAACTGGGATATATTGTGGCTTTTCTACATTTACAGGAAAGGCTGTAAGTGGCAAAGAAAACCCAGGATTCCTGGTGCAGTGAAAGACACATCTCTTTCTTTTCCTTTTCTTTCCTTTCCCTTCCCCTCTCTCTTCCCTTCTCCCTTTCCTTTCCTTTCCTTCTTTTCTTTTCTTGACAAGGTCTTGCTCTGTTGCCTGGACTAAAGTGAGAGCACAGTGGCATCATCATAGCTCACAGCAACCTCAAACTCTTGGGCTTGAGTGATCCTCCTGCCTCAGCCTCCCAAGTACCTGGGACTGCTGGCGTCCACCACCACGTAAAAGGCACATTTCTTATGAAGTGCTTAAACGCTCAGAAGTCCTGACCTAGTTAGTTGCTTTAGCTAACTGAAAAGTCTGTAGGGTCCGTAAATGAGATTAGAATAAGGTTTACCTTCAGAAGAAATGGAATATGATTATTTCAAAGGCCAGGAGTAAATATGGCATATGACTTATATACAAGTATATTCTGAGTTCATTGGTAGGCTGTCAAGTGAGTAAGGCAGACATCTACCTTGAGGTGTTTATTTTGGTAATGCAAGTCAATCTCAGAAAATACCCTTTATTTCAGATTATAGGTAGCTGGATTTACATTAATGTCTTAGATTCATATCCATGGGTATATTTCCTGTTAACGGGCAAATTTCCAGAATTGATGACTGCATTTCTGTCAGATGCTCAGACAGGGTGGAAAGGAAGCATGCTTTCCCATATAACTCTGGCCAAGAAATTATGAAAACTTCATTTAAATGAGTTTTGGGGCCCTTCCTTTTGGTCCTTTTCCCTAAACAGGATCCGAGCTGGAGTAGAGAAGACAACGTCTCCGTACATACCATTTCACACCTGCCCACATTCTTCAGCCCTGACTGCGTCCTGGGCTGTCACAGCTCACCTCATCCATCACTTGCAGTCCTCCTTCTCACAGAAATTATCACTAAAACGTGTGACAAATAGCTCAAGGCAGAAGGGTTTGCTGGGCCTCCATAAAGGAGGGAAAAAGGAGATATGGAGCACGTTTGTCAGGAACTGGTGTTAGACTGTCAGACACTTGCGTGAGTCTGTGAGATGGCAGACGAGTACACGTGCCTGTACCAGGGCGCCAGGCGCTCAGTAGAGAAGCTGCTGGACTAAACTCTTCCATGTCCAATGTAGCCAAGACCATGAGAAACAATCTCCAATCCTCAAAGAGCATAGGCAGCTGAAACCCAGCAAGGGGTATCTTGGGCTTATGCAAGATGTGTGGGGAGGTTGGTAGTGGTGTCGATAGAGGAAGGGGAAGGCAGTGGTGGACAGTCTCCCATGTGGCACCCATGGAGGTTTTTGGTTTATCTCAGTAAGGCAGATGAAACACCAGACAAACCTGAAGTAAGGGCGTTGAGGGGAGTATGATAGTAAAATGTTAGTTGACAAATATTTATCCCTTCAATTGATGTTAACACTGAGCAGCTATCAGGTGCCTGGCATGGGGGCTGCAGAGCTCAGTGCTTCAGAGCCCAGCACAGAGGCTGCCTGCCTGGATTTGAATCATAGCTCTCCTTCTGTCGGCCACAGAACTTTGGGCAAGTTGCTTAACCTCTCTCAGCCTAGTTTCATTATGTATAAAATAGTTATAACACGGGTACTTATCTCATAAGGTGGTTGTGAATATCAAATGAAATAATCCATGTAAAAGCTGTTAGGACAGGGCCTGATGTATAGTCAGCATCAATAAATGTTAGCTATAATTGAAACACTGGCCTGTGCAGGGTGAGGATAAAAAGGTAAAATATGGTCTCTACCAGTGAGGAATTTGCACTGTAGTAAGAGAAACCACGTGGAAGTGTATTTTAATGCCTTGGTCCTCTTTGCCTCTCACAACCAATCCCCTTTCCAATTGTACAGGCATTAGATTTTCTAGATAATAGTCTCTCATTCTCATCCTTTCTTATTAACATCGAAATTTCACAGAATTTTAAGAATAGAAGGGAACCTCTTCGATTTCGTCCGAACTTACCCTTTCCAGTTTTATTTCCACTGCGCTCCTCTGTGCTAAGTAACCAGACCGCTTCCCCGATCGGGGGAGTAGGAAAGGCTAGGGTGGGCTGTGTTTTTCTGCTTCTTTCCTTCCAGCCACAGCCTTCAAAGTCTGTCTCAGGCATGCTTTCTCTGAAGTTTCCCTTCCCCCCTCCTCCTTTGAACTCCTATAGCCTTTGTACCTCCCTTACAAATTTGGCAAGTTTTGCTTTTGTTAGATGTATTTCCCTATATGATGTATCTCCCCTTTCAAAACTATTATGTGACCTTTGTTTCCTTCTAAAGCAGTGACCTTAATTGTCATGTCTCAAAACCAGTCACTCTATATGGTAGAAGCCTGATGTGACACTTACTATAGAGAATGGCTGCTAGCCTTGCCTCCCAGCCCAACACTATAAAGTACACCTCATTGGTTTTAAATACCAAGTCTAAGGTCAAACAGCCTGGGTTCAAAACTAAGCTCCGACGATAGTGACTTTGGACCAGTTACTTTACCTCTCTGAGCCTCAGTTTCCCTCTCTATAAAATGGGAATGATAATATATCTACCTCTTTGCATTTTGGAAGAATTAACTGAGATACTACATAAAGAGCTTCCCACAAGACCTGGCACATTAACAAGGGCTAATCTCTAGAAATTGAGGAGACCTCCTGACACTTCTCAAGTCCTGCTGATTTTGCCTTCTATAGTAAATATCTCTTGACTCTAATCATTTAGTCAAAGCCACCATCATTTCATACATGGAATGCTATAAAGTCTCCTACCAGGTGCCTCCCTATTCCCTCTTGCCCTTTCTAGTCTGTTCTCCTCACAGCAGCCAAAATAATGTTTCCAGACACATACCTGTCACACTTACTACCCTCACCTTGGCCTAACATCCCTCTCTTCCCAAGGCTTCCCATCGCTTTTAGAATACAGACTAAATTCCTGGCTACAAGTTCCTGGCTGGCCGGGCCTTGCAGCTTTTCCCTTCTGTTCCCTGGCAGCCTGACCTCATACCTCGTTCTCCCTGTTCTCCCCACTGTGGCCCGACTGGCCTCTGTCAGTCTCTCATCTTCACTGTGTCCTCCTTCCTCCACTCCAGACTCACACATGCTGTTCCCTCCGCGTACAACACTGTTCCTTCCCTTCCTCGCCTGACCACTCCTCTTACACATCTTTTAGGCAGCTAGCTCTGTTCAGCTCGCGCAGATTTGCAGTTTGACATGTGTGTGGCTGGGTAGAGTCAGTCTCCTCAGCCTGCTCACTCCAGCCTTTGCTCTCCAGTGTCACCAGAGGGCCTTGCACAGGGCCTGGCATTCTGGACTGAGCAGGCATGCAGTAGATATTTGAAGCATGAAAGAGTGAATGAATGAATGTTAGCTCTTGTCCCACTGCATTCCACACAAGCAGGTTGTATTGCGGTCTGAGTATAGAAATCTGCTTCCTGAATGCCCGCCTCATTAGAGTGAATCCTGGGCCTCACACTTTTAAGAACTTAATTTTGTGATGGGACTCAGAGAATATAGAACAACGTGCACTTATTTATATTTCCATAATGTTGTAAGAAATAAGTCAAAGGTGGGTCTTTATTTTGCCTTTCCTTTTTATTTCTTAGCAGAGAGCGAAGCTAAGAAAATAAAGACTTCGTAGGTCTCATGCTGAATTAAAAGACTCTATTACGTAATCTGTATATTGAAAATATCCCTTCTGTCCCTGAGAAATAATCATCTGTTCATTGTTCTGGCTTTCTTTGGAACACCCCCCTTTGTGGTTAGGGACATTTCAATGATTTGTCTTTTGTGTCCACTAGGTCTGAGGTAAGAACGAGAGGGTAGGGAAGGGAGAGGGTCCAACATTCGTTTAGTGCCTGCTCTGGACACGAGACCAGGCATTTTAGAAAAAAGGAGCATGTGCTTACCCTTTTCATTTTTCGGATAAAGAGAGTTAACAGGAGCCAGAAGAGAGTTGCAGCCACACAGGTGCACGTCAGAGTGATCAGCTCCAGGTTGGACTTGTCCGAGGTTCCTGGAGAGAGAAAATCACTGAGATGGTTCTAAAAAGAAACTCTTAAACTTTGAGTCTCCCTGGTTCTCTAAAAGAGGCCTGGTGCCCCTAACTGGTTCATCATAGCAAACATAATCTGCTGACACAAAATCAGTCTCTGGGACAGATCTTCTCTAACCCTGTGAGTCAGGCAGTATTCACGATATTAGCATAATGAACTCACACATAAAAGACTTTCCAGAAATTTTGCTGTCGAGTTTGCTAACTTTGTAATCCCAGAGATGGCTAATTAAAAGTCAGAGAAGCAATTAAAAATGGGAAAAAATTAAGGCAGAAACAAAAGCCCATTAAAGTGCTAAATCTGGAATATGTTAAATCTCCCCAATGGGTTTTAGAGGAAATTCTAAAGAAAAAGAAAAAAAAATGACATAAATGGCTCCTTTGGGACTCACAGAGTTCTTCAAAGTAGATTTTAAAAATAAAAATAAAACTCAAGGACTGTCACAATTGCCTGCTTGCTTCTTTTGGAACAGCCAGGCCAAACCCCCACACCCTACTCCCTGCGTCTGGGCTCTGTTTCTGACCTTGTCAGTAGCGGCCTGCAGGGGCTGGGATGAGAACAGGTAACTGCTGGACCGGATCCTCCCCAGACCCCTCATTTCCCAGAATCACAGAGGTCAAAAGCTGCGCCCTGTTCCTCCAAGACCAAAAAGAAAAGACTCAAAGTATTCAAGTGATGCCTCTAGAGAGGAAACTCTTTGGAATCTGTAAAGGAATGCCTCAGTGGTTCAGAACAGTGGCTCCCTATGTATTGATCCCAGTGTACAATTTCCCAGAAATTCTAAAGTAATGCCTTTATCCTTTAACTTAATTAAAATGAAACAGGTTTATCATCAGGTAGGCAAAGAACAAGTGAAACCTTTTCATTTTAGAAATGATGATGTGGATGAAGATATAATTTATTGAGCACTTATTATGTGCCAAGCACTCAAAACTACCCTGTGAAGTAGGTGGCAGTATCATCCCAATTTTATAAGTACTTCATCTTGTGGACTCTTTGTTTCAATTCAACAAAGAAACTCAAAGTATTGAGTCCTGCAACAAACGAGGCTGGGGCCTGCAGTAGGGAGAATTGGAGAGTGGCCACTCTCAAGGGCCCATTCAAACCTAACCAAGAGACTTAAGGCAAATGCAAAGAAATTAGATTTAAAAAGCTTCGGAGGTTGAGGGAATCTAATGCTTTTAGGAAGAGGTGGCATTTGAAATGGATTTTGATCTGCAGAGATGAAGGCAGGGGAGGGCATCACAGGCAGAGGGAACAGTATGAGTAAAGACCCAGACCTGGGAAATGGGGGGGTGGTATGACACAAGACAGAGGACAGGACCAGACCATAGAGGATTGTGCGCACAGTGGGTTTGAACTTCATGCTGCAGGCAGTTAGACCCAGGAAAGGTCCCCTGCCCCGAGTCATAGCAAATACACGAACAGGAAACCTGAGAATAGCAATAATAATACTCACTGGCACTTATCCAGTCCTTTCTATTCTAGGGATTCTTCTAAGGGCTGATATGTATTAATTAATCCAAGACTAACAACAACCCTACAAGCTATATTATTCCCATTTTATGAATGAAGAAATTGAGACACAGAAAGATTAAGCCTCTTGCCCAAAGTCACACAGCCTACAAGCGGTAGAGCCGTGATTTTAACTCAGATAAACTGATTCCATCTGCTTAACCGCTAAGCTTCCAAGGGTACACCACTTCCTCCTCCTCCCTTATCCTTCCAGCCTTTACAAGCGCACATTTGTCACTTCCTATTAGCCCTGGTCCCGGCCACAAAGTGTCCTTTAGTCTGGAGTGGAAACTGACATTTTCTCTCCATCCAGTCCATCACAAAGTCCTGCCCATTCTACTTCCTCTGCTCATTAAATTGTCACCTCCTGTCCTACTCCACCGTCACTCCCTAAAATAAGGCCTCATCAGTTCTCCCCTGGACCACCTCATTAGCTTCCTAACCAGCCAGGACTCCCTCCAGTCTCTCCCCGACCTCTGCGCCAGAGTGATCGTGTCACTCTCCAATTTCATCCTACCACTCCTCTGTCTGAATTCCATACTCTGCTCCCCATCACTGTCAGGATAAAGATCTAAATTCTTAGGTCCTTTATGCCCAATCTTGCCATCTCTTCTGCTCCATCTCCTGCTGTTCTCCCACTTTCTCCAGTCACATCACAACACTTACAGTTTTTTATATACACCAGCCCTTCTGACTTCCCTGCTGTTTCCCCACCAGCTTGGGAGCTCCTGGGGGCTGAGACCACACCTTATTCATCTTATCCACCCCATTTATCAGATTGGGTGATAATCGGGTGCGTGGATAAATTATGTTTTGATTTACCTGTGTCTAAAGAGTTTCATGGGGGATCCTTGTTTCTGTGTATTAGTTCAACAAACATGGGGACCCCCTGTGTCACAGATGTGCTCCAGGTGCTGGTATACAGCCCTAAGGGAAAGGGCCTGGGTGGAGCTTACAGTCTAGTATTCAGATCTGAACTGACAAGTGTGTTCAGATCTGAGCGAAGCAGCAGGAGGTAGGACGATGGTTCTCTTGTTCACTTCTGCATCCCCAGTGTTGAGAAGAGTGCCTGGCACTGAAGGGACATCCTGAAAATCGTGGTCAAGTGAATGAATTTGGCTTCATTCGCTGCTTTGTCAGCTGCGGTTAAGTTTCCTTGAACCTCACGAGATTGATTGAGAACAACTTCCTTAAAGAAGTTTCAAAGTACGATAACCTTTTCTCTCAGTACACATCCTCACAATGGGAACATTGTAAGCTCAAGTTCATGAGTCTGGATTTCTTCCCCCCACAGTGTGAGGTCTGATGCCGCCTTGCTGCACAGACACACGTGCGCATGCGCACACACATCCTTGCTTATGCTGAAAATAAGTCTTGTGGAATCTGATTGGGATCTGCTCAGGACACAGTGGCCTTTGGCCGTCAGAGACACTGATAGCATCTCGAGACACTGCACTGTCTGCATAAAACCTCTGCAGATGCTTCCCTCATGGAATGCGCTGAGAGAGGCCCCCTCTGATTATGGGAACTTTCCCACTGCATTCCGTGGGGCAGGAAGCTGACCCCCAAAGTCTAATTCCATAGTCCTTACTCAAGCAAAATTCCTTTCAGTAGGACCAAATGTGTTTGTGTGCAAACACTTACAAATTTAAGGAAGCAACTCATTTTAAAAAAATCTTCAAGATGAACATTCATTAGGAAGGAAAGACCTATTTAGTATTAATATTCAGTACTGGTTACTGAAAAAAAATAGTATTTTGCGGCATATGATGTAGTCTCTATGCTCTATCTCATTTGACAGCTCAATCTCTACCTCTATTTGAAAAATGACTGTTAGGATAACCTTATGCTGGGTGACTGATTACAGTAAGCCCTTAGGTGTTTTCTCAGCGGCCAGACATCCACACACTGGCCTGACTAGACCTAACTTCAACTCCCTGGTGACAGCTGATGAGCTCAGTGCATGAAATAGCCCAGCTGCACACGGCAGGGCGAGGGAGGCCAACGGAAACATGGGTGGGATCGGACAATAACTAGAAGTCAGCTCTGGGTCTCTGGCTCCCCTGTGATGTGTGGGGAGGCCAGTATCAGGACACAGTACAAGGTTACTTTTATTTGGGATACTTATAAGAATGTGGCCAATTTGAAGAGTGTATGGTAATTGTGTCTTTATTACAGGTTGCTGACCCTGTTGTAGAGTGTTCCATGTCAATTACCCTCCCGGGCACATACCATCCCTCTTGGAATAGGGAGAGCTGGTGCCACACAGGGGATGGACTGAGTTCTGAAGGGTGGTGTATCTTGTCTAGAGTCTCCTCAGCTGTGCAGTGTCCTCAGCCTTTCTGATGGCAATGGCAGCTGTCTGTGCACATGGCCTGAGCTGCATGGGCTGGCAGCATCACACCAGCCCTGCCATGTGGCACTGTGTGGCATCTGACTGCCTGAGTCAACAGGCAGCAGAGCCAGTCAACTCAGCTCATGCAATATAGCCAGATAGAGTTTCTCAAGAAGTTAAGAAAACACCCCAAGCAGAGCATCTTGGCCCAGGGCCTGCCTTGACTTAGGGAATGAGCACACGTTTCATCAGGAAAGGGCAAGAAGCCTTTATGTGACTCCATGAGCATCTGTGCTGTAGACCGCGGATACTGTGCCCAGTTTCCTCATCCATGAAAGGCGGAGGTGGGAACAGCTTCTACCACGCAGGTGAAATCTGTAAACTCTAGTGACAGCTATTTTGAAGGCTTCTTTCCTTCCTTTCTCTCTCCCTGTCCATCTACCCCCTCCCCAACCCCTAGCCCTTCCACCCTTTTCTTTTTTCCTTATCACTTTCTGACCTCAATTGCAGGATAATTTTTTTTTTCATCCAAACACACTGCATGCAACACAATTTGTCTTTTCTCTCTGAAACTAATCAGACTTTGATCCAAGTAGTTATCATTTTCTGCAGACCAACCGGGCCACGCCTCCCTGAGAAATTCGCCTGCCACCGAAGGGTGGTTTACATGTTATCCTCTAGTTCTATGGTTATTTTAATTTGAAGGAACTATTTATGTGGGTTTATTGCCCACTAAACTCTCAGGATCTGAAGAGAAGGACATGTTTTTTGTTCATTTTGTGTCTCCAGCACTGGCCCAGAGGAAGTCTCAAGGAAGATTCATGTCTGGATGAGGAGAAAATAGATCCACCTGGGCCTGATTCTCAGGGTTCTTGAGCAAGGTGAGCCAATCAACAGTGCCGCCTCCTTCTGTCAAAAACCGAGTAACAAGTAAGCCAGTTAGCCTGACTACGTGGGTTTTCTAAAGCTTATTGAAGTATTAAAATTGGCCTGCAGACCTTTATTACTGTTTATGAAGCCTTTTAGGAATCTGTGTACACGAATTTGGAAGCACTCTTCAGGCCAGTGATGGCGTATGGAAATACTGTATTCAGATTAAATTTAAAGTAC